TAATTAAAAACTTCTCTTTGAAAATGTAAATGGCTAATTTCAAACCTCAGCTTTCAAAGGCAACTGTGGCACAGATTGGACCCATATTTCTATAGAAATGGTCTCTGTCTTTAAAAATAAAACGCATAAGAGGATTTGTTAAAAGTAATGAAATTGAGTGAGTTGGGGGTGGGAGGTGCAAAAAAAGGGATTCCATTTGTAACAAAAAACAAACAAACAAACAAACAAAACCTTCCACGTCTGAGTAATTGTTCCTTGACCCATTACTATTTCAGCCCTTTTAGACACTATACACAACTCATTTAACAGGATCCTTGTTATCACATCCAATTTCCTTTGAACCTCCATAGCACTTCTTGATATAGCACAAGATAGCCAGTCTTATGAATGCCAGAGGAAGTGCCTGTCTTCCTACTTCCTTCTACTAGGAGGAAGAGATGAATGGAGATCATCTCTTCTTCCTTCACCTTTTTAGCTACCGAGGGACAGCTCAACCATTAGGCTTCTTAAGTCATTCCTAAAAATGCTACCTTGAGAAAATGCTGCCCCTGTCCCTGAGGCTGCAGCCCTGGAAATACTCATTAGCTAGTGGTTAACGGTTTTTCCAAGGAGTACCCCCATCCAAAGTCATTAATTCCAGGGAAGATGTCAAACTGTGGTACAAAGACATTTGTATGTGTATTATGTGGGGACCAGCATGTAGATGTGGGCAATAGTTCAGATAATACCTCTCCATCGCTGAGATTAATATATAGGTTTCCATCTGAATGTTTCTCTTGCCTGCACCATCAAATTGGCAATAGGCTGGCTTGTGAGGAAATGGCCATCTTTCTGTGGTTCTTGACCTCAGTTTACTATGTTAAAAAGATCTTTTTATTAATCTAAATTTCCGTAAGTCAGGAAAAAGAGTCAGAGGCTGGCAGTCTGTTTCTCAAGAGCCATGCCAGCGTTACAGACGCACTTTAATATATCAAAGATTTAACACAGGAGGCTTTGAGAAGGAGCACAAGCCTCTGGGTATCACTGCTGGGTCAGACTGTTCTTCTACTTGCACTACATATGATGAAGATTTGCATCTCTGCACTAAAGCTCAGGAGGGGTATCACAGCTTCCCTAGCCATGTGCCATTTCGAGATCTAGCAGCTGGCCAGAGCAGGTCTTGGTGCAAAGCCACAATACCCACAACTGGGGAGCTCAGGGAGGGATTGTGTTTGTCGTATAACACAGCCTGGTCCATGGGCTGATACAGAGGAGGGTGTTGACCAGTACAAGAAGCATTCTTCCAGACTAGATGGGCTAGTGATCTGATCAAGTATGGCAAATTTTATATTCATATTAGAGAGTTTTAACTTGTCCTGAGTCTCTTTGCTCCCTGAGGGTGTTGCTCATATAGCAGTAGGAACTATTCCTCTCCAACAGATAGTTACTGAGTCTCATTTCCAATGTACACAGGTCTGACTTATGTCAAAAGAGTGAGGATTTTACGTTTTAATCATGTTCCACGTGAATTAGCATGTACATCCAGGACTGAATGGACTCCTTCCCTTAAACTTTTCAACAGTGTGTTTCTGGATTGTGGCATGAAAAAGAGAAAGGGGGAAATCTAAATATGAATTACTCAGGCTTCCTTACTTGTAGGAAAGACTTCATTTTATTATTTACAAGAGACTTCCACTGGCTGCCAACCACTGAATGCTTAGAAAGACCAATGTATATCTTAGCAATCTCCAACAGATAATACATATAGGTTAAAATTCATCTTTGGTTTAAATCCATTTGTGGTGTATCCATTTGTAGCCCACCTTAATCAATTAGTTTCATTAGAGTTGGTATGGCAACACCCATTTTTCATGTTCTCTGTGTGTGTATATATATATATATATATATATTCTTAATGTATTTTCCACTGCATGCATCTGTTGAAGTGGGCTTTAGCCCACGAAAGCTTATGCTCAAATAAATGTGTTAGTCTCTAAGGTGCCACAAGTGCTCCTCATTCTTTGTGTTAAAACTGAGAGCTATCACTTTAAATTATTTGGGGGTCGGGTCTCTCTAGGGAAGCATGCAATCAGAGCCAGTTTTTCACACAGACAGCCTAGAGAAAGGTAGAGTGAGTTGTGCCTCGCTGTTTCAGAGAGCAGTCTGCTTTCTCTCTCTCTGTTTTTATTCTAAGAAATAAAGTAGTGTTACAGTGCAACCTTCCAGCAAGAGTGTTTTTGTCTAACTTCTCTGTTTGCATGCTAGTAAAAAAAAAAACACCATTGACTCGGATGGCCAATGGGGGATATTTTGGGACAGAATTGCTATGACCCATCAGACCTTCTATTTGTAACAGGTACTAACCTTATTATTATTTGTAATACCATAGCATCTACTAATCTAATGGAACTGAGCTGCGTCTTTTCTGACATACGTGGCACTTCGTTTTGCATTTCAATACCTCCTGTCGTAGGCTCAATAGATGTGATATGCAGCAAATATAATCAGACATGAAGGAAAAACTCAGAACTGTAAGGAAGGTTTTTGTTGTTGTTTGCAGCTGATGCTTTCATTATCAAAAGATCTACCAGCTAGTCAAATTAACCACAGATTTACATACAATTAAATTATTCCACCTGTGAATAATATAAAAAATCATCCAGTGTGTATGTGGAATTTTTGTCTTTGTTTTTGGTAAGTAACTGAGAAAATGCAAAATTGAAAACTCCCGTGTGCCAACATTAGAAGTGGAAATACTGCTCAAATTTTGCAGAGCAACATGACACTGGACCCACGAGAACTTCTCGACCATGCCCTATGAATGAACTAATGCATCACAACCAATAATTTGGGATACAGCGTATACAAAGGATGATGTTCATAAACATAAAAGGTTGAAATTTTCATTGCAGGATGGGAAAATTTAGACACATCTTCCATTAATTTTAATGGAAAATTTGTGTCCAAGCCCCCAGACCTGATATGCTCATCCTGAGAAGTTTTGTTAAATCATATTGTTAAATGGAACAGGAGTACTTGTGGCACCTTAGAGACTAATAAATTTATTTGAGCATAAGCTTTCGTGGGCTACATCCCACTTCTTCGGATGCATAGAATGGAACATATATTGAGGAGATATATATACACACACATACAGAGAGCATGAACAGGTGGGAGTTGTCTTACCAACTCTGAGAGGCCAATTAAGTAAGAGAAAAAAAACTTTTGAAGTGATAATCAAGATAGCCCAGTACAGACAGGTAGATACGAAGTGTGAGAGTACTTACATGGGGAGATAGATTCAATGTTTGTAATGGCTCAGCCATTCCCAGTCTTTATTCAAACCTAAATTGATTGTGTCTAATTTGCATATCAATTCGAGTTCAGCAATTTCTCGTTGGAGTCTGTTTTTGAAGCTTTTCTGTTGTAAAATAGCCACCCGCAGGTCTGTCATTGAATGACCAGACAGGTTAAAGTGTTCTCCCACTGGTTTTTGAGTATTATGATTCCTGATGTCAGATTTGTGTCCATTAATTCTTTTGCGTAGAGACTGTCCGGTTTGGCCAATGTACATGGCAGAGGGGCATTGCTGGCACATGATGGCATATATCACATCGGTAGATGTGCAGGTGAACGAGCCCCTGATGTTATGGCTGATCAGGTCCTGACTAGATAGGAGGAGGTTTGAGTATGGTTCCAATATAGAAAAGAAGGGCACAGTATAGAAAAGATTGAGAACCACTGTTTTGAAAATCTCAACCAAAATCTCTCCATTAGTACCAAGGTCTACCAGATAACACACTCTCATTCCATCTATGACTACAGTCACTGACTAGTCCATCAGGATGACACTACTGGAAGCACAGAGATTTGACTAAACCAACCATTATATGTGAATCCGAGTGAAAAACAAACTAATCCTGTTAGGCAACTGGGTTGTTGTGTGTAGCACTGGCAGTCCACTGTGATTACACACCAAACAGACATGGGGAAAAAAGCCTTTTGTTTGCTTGGTTAAGGATCTTCTTCATAAAATCAGGTTCATTGGGGACCCCTTGCTCTAGGCTTTTATATAAATTAGGGTTAGGTTAGAGACAGTGATTAATTTCTGCCAGGGCTTGCCAGGACTGAGCCCTGGCACCTCTAGGCTTGGGCAGTTCATAGCCGCAGTACCTCTGGGCTTGCCACATCAGTTATGAAATTTTTAAAATTGCTTGAGCCCCGGCACCTCTTTCATTACAAATTAACCCTAATTTAGGGACTGTAATTGAAAGTCGTATTTTCTACCTCACCTTGTAAAAACTTCAGGCATGTAGTTCAACCCTTCAAAGGTGAATCTTCAACAGGTTTGCAGTTTAGACTGTGATAAACATGGAAAATTTCAGAATCTTATTTTAACTTTAAACCAGTTAGCAATACTTCCTAGCTCAGTGTACTGACGCACAGTGGCCTCTCTCCGGACTGGAGAGCGAGTGACCACTACACTCCCCTTCGTGGGCGGAGCCAAACCCACCACACCCCATTGCCGGAAGTACCAGGGCGGGGCAGGAAATATAAAAGGAAGGCTCTGCAGCTCAGTTGGGCTGGAGCCAGCGGAGGAGATGGACGCCTCTGCCCTGCTGCGGCACCGGGGAGCTGAACCTGGCTTGGCCACACCCTGCCCCTGTAGGAGACAGACTCAGACAAGGAGGTTTTTTTTTTTCAGGGACAGGAACCATGTTTATTTCATGTGACACTGACTTACACTGGTCAATTGATTTGTATACACACCAGGAACACTCAGGCAGAAACCCCCGCTCCTCCCCCCCACCCCCGGCTGGCTGGGCCGACAGGAGGGAGCCGAATTCACACACAGATGATTATTTCTTCCATGGGGCCAGCGGGTGGCGGATCAGCAGGGATGGTTCTATACACCTGGGCTCCCGCTCCCGACGCGGCGAAGCGACGCCCCCGATCAGGAAATAGAAACATTAAATAAATAAACATAAAAACATCAAAACAAATAAACATTAAAACAGTCGCGTCCGCAGAGGGCCAGGCCGGAACGGGCAGGGGCTCAGTCCCCCATTTTTACTTTAGATGTCTGCAGGATGGCGACTATGACCCTGAAGAGCCCAATGGCGCTGCCGAAGATCTCCACGATCAGGATCTTGACAAAGAGGCTGGCGTTCTGGGCGTCGGCCAGCGCAGCCCCACTGCCCACAATACCCACGCACACCCCGCAGAACAGGTTGGAGAGGCCCACGGTCAGACCAGCCCCAAACATGGAGAAACTTGCGTGGTAGTTCTTGGCACCGATGGTCTCTGGGGTGGTGCCGCTGAAAGGCTCAGCCATGTTGCTGATGACGATCGCCATGATGATCCCGTAGATGGCCACGGCCTCACAGAAGATGATGCTGACCAGGTTCTTTGTTTTAATCCTGGGGGCCTTCACTCCCCCGCCGATGATGCTGGAGCCAGTGATGTAGATCCCCCAGGTTGCGCCCACCACGGACAGCGAGATGGCCAGGCCGATGCCCAGGTTGGACCACATGAAAGGGGAGGTTGCTGGGACTACTGTCGGCAGTATACCCAGAGGAGCCTGAGGGCCAGTGGATGCCAGAAGTACCAAACCCTAGGGAGGTAGGAAGTAGCCCAGGACTAGCCGGCTATAGGGCTGATCACTTCTAGGTTGACGTGTTGAGGCTGGATCCCCACCGACCCAGTGGCAGACCACACTGCCACTGTTAGGGCCTTGGGCTGGGATGTGGTATTGTTGGGCAGGCGCGCATCCCCCTGCCACTCCAACCACAGGGTGGCCAACTCCCCACTTTAGGCCAGGAGGCCCTGTGTGCCTTGACCACCCCTGCCAGTGTAACGCTGACAGACCCCAGTTGTCAGCAGGCAGGATTGAACCTGGACCTCGGGAGCTCTCTACCGCATGAGCGAAAAGCCAACTGGCTGTTAGCTAAGGCTGTAGAGCAATCAATCTCTCTCTCTCTCTCTCTCTGAGGAGGTGTGTGGGTTACACCAGCACCCTAGACTGCCCATTAGGTGCTCAACCCCTCTGGAGCCCCTAGACTGTGTGGGTGCTCATCCCTATCTGAACCCTGAGACTGTGTATGTTTGCTGGCTGCCTTTGCTTACCAGCCGAGGCTAAGCCTGCTCCCTGCTCTATCCCGTCCCAAGGGCTAGAGCTTATTGACTGTATATGTTTGCTGGCTGCCTGAGCCCCCAAGCTCAGACTAAAGCCTGCTCCCTGCTCTGCCATGCCCAAAGGGCTAGATCTTATTGACTCAGTGAGATTGCTGACTGCTTGGGCCTGGAGACTTAGACTACAGCCTGCTACCAGCCAGGCCCCACCCCATGGGCTGGAGCCCCAGACGCTTAATTGGTGTCAACTCCTGCTTAGGGGCTGCGAGCTAAAGACTATGTCAGGCCCTGCCCCACCCAAGGGTGGGGACAGGAGCCCCAGACTATTGTGCGTTTGCCTCTATCAGGCTGGCCGAAAACCATAAACTGCGTACAGCTCTGCCCTGCCGGTGCGGCCCAAACCCGAAGACTGCCACCCCCCTACGACGCAGAGTGGCCTCCCTCCAGACTGGAGAGCGAGGGACCACTACACTCAGCAAAATGGGATTGGAGTTTTACCAGAAGAACCTTCATTTCCTGCATGGAACCCAGAGAGTAAATGAGAGAAAAACTGTGAAATTATGAAGAAAAAAAAAAAAAAGACTAATTTTTAAGAAGCAAAATAGAAGGTTAATTTTAGGCTTGGTGTGAGTTTTTGGTGAAAGTTCCTGGGTACTGAACTATTTCACTCATCCCTACTAAAACAGGTTACATCTGTTAAGTCAGTAAACATGGGGCTGCTGTAAATGTAAAAACCCAAAGAAATATTCTGCAGAAGGTTTGAAAAGATTTCTCATTATTTAGCATTGACTTGAAATTGAAAGCTTGTTTTCATTCCATCTTGCAACACAACACAAAAGAGTTCCTAAATCCTTGCCACTTCGCACCTACAGTTTCCATTATATTTTAAGTTCTTTCTTGAAACCAAGCAGGAGGTGGTGGCTGTTTCAAAACACTGGCCAAACAGCTTAACTTCTGTGACTGGCAGCCCATCTGGAAGGGAAGAATTTCAGTCTTGAATAATGAAAGTGAGACGTATGGTGGAGGTGGAGTGAAATACATTCCCTGTCACAGTTTGTCACCCAGCGCCGTTAGAGTTCCAAGCAGTTGAATTTGTTTGGACCTGCAGTTGAGTGATTTGCCCTTTTCTCTGAGGTAAAGAGATATTTGTAGTGGCATGAAGTGAGCTGGGAACATTTCTTGTAAGATTGCCCAGAGGAAACAGCACCACGCACAACTGGCTTTTTGTGTAGAAGAATATGTTAAAAGAAAAATTGAGTCCATGTAGTCTAAAAGTATTTAAAAAAAACATATATTTCAATCCTTGTTTAAGCTGCTGAAAAGTTTCTCTGTGGTGCTAACTGATCTAAGTTATGTCTGCAAAGAGTATCTCATCATTTCTCAGACAACAGAAGGAATTTGTGGCTGACCTCCTGAGGGGAATGGTCAGCTTTCTCCATCTTTCCACTGTATGCTGATGCTTGGGCTTAATTTATGCTGCTCAGTTGAAAACAGAAAGCTCAGTTCCAAAGTTGGCCTGGGGAAAATAATACACCATGGGAAAAGGATTCACTCATGGAATCTTTTTTTTTAGATGCACTAAAGTTTTACACAGACTGAGTCTCCATATTTGTTCCCGCCTGTTTATCACCTCATTGCGAAATAATGTTGAGTGCATTCCCCAGACAGAAAAATGAAAACCTTCTGTCTTGTTACTGTTAACTGTTTGCAAAGGGGGGTTTACAAGCGTCCTGGCCACCTACATCAGGTCAGAAGTTCCACCTCTATTTGAACCACTCTGGTGTGTTTGCTTTCAAAATATCATAGGGGATACATAATTTCATTAAAAAAGTTATAGATGCCTTTCAGTCAAATTTGGATGCCTAGCTCCTTAAGACATTTGAATATCTCAGGCACTACTCAGTAATATATTTGTTCACAGAACTGTTTAAAAAAAGAGAAAGAGAAACTCAGATATTTGCAAATAAATGATTACTTATATGTATATTTTAATTTACTTTAGCTTACCAAAGCAACATACCAAAAGGAACCATTTCATATGCATATGGCCTAGTGAATATCAAGCCAGCAAAGATGCCCAAATATCACCTTGTTCAGGAGACAAAGGCTGCTGCTGAGTCGATTATATATAGAAGGCTTGATCGCTCAGGAGGTTGGTAATGGGGTGTGGGCTGCAAGTTCAAATCCTGGTCAGATCTGTAGCAGATAAAAGTTGTTACTGTCAGAAAATGCTTAATGCCCCATGGGAAGCAAGTTGTTGGGTCTTCTTCGGCCATTTCCCATGGGGCTGTGGGCCCTCATCATGGAACAGATTAATCTGACACTGCTCATCCTGGCCCTGGTCTGTGGGAAGGAAGGATGGTCCAGTTATTTGGTCACTAGCCTAGGATGGCTGAAGACCCATGTATAAGTCCCTGCTCTGCCACAGACTGCCTGTGTGCCTGGACAAGCAACTTAGCCTGATTTTCCTACTTGTAAAATGGGAATAATAGTACTTCTGTATCTCACAGGCAATGAGGCACTTAGATACTACAGAGCTGGGGCCATATAAATACATAGAGTACTAGGCAGAAAACTCTTGAAGTCAGTTTGACACCTTCCAACAGTACCAAGTGTCCTTTCCCCTAGAATAGGAAGAAAAGCCAATACAGCTTACTGCTCTAGTAAGACGAACAAAACTTGAGAGCCCCTCTTACATGTTGCAGTTTTATAAGAAAAAAATGCGTATAGATGCATACTGAATGACTTTAATATCCATCTGGAAAAGGTCTGATGAGATTCCAAGAAGTGCTGGAGTACTTAACCTCTTGGATAATATTTAAATAACATATCCAGTCTCTAGAGGCTGCCATCTAGAGGTTGATGACCTGAATTGCAGAAGTGCTGAGAACCCTGGCCTTCAAGCATGTCTAAAATCAAGCCCTAAACTTTGATATCTTAAGAATTAGCCTCACAAATCCCCCAAACAGTCAGTGCCCGATCAAATGCAAACACATTGAGCACGCAGCTAATACCCAAGAATAAAGGCTAAGGTTTCTGTGTCAATGGACTGTATATTTCCCTGATACTAATGTTACTCATTTCATTGATGGTTGCAAGGATTTTGAGGTGGGTGGGTTTTTTTAAAAAGAAAGTATAGCAGAGATTCTGCCGTTGTGCCTGGGCTCTTGCAATGTTTCTGACAAGTCTCCATCTCATGCTTATTATTCACCTTTGCAGTATAGTTTTTATTCTTGTAATCAGGCTTAAATGAGGACCTTTGAGAGGTGTATTTCCTGAGCAAAGCAGTGGCTTGTAAACCGGGAGTGAAGAACACGCACTCCCACTTTGCTTCCTGCACAAAATAAAACTTAGGCAGCCATGGCACATGTAAAGTCAATTTAAATTAAATTTAAAATGGTAACTATCCCTATAAAATCCCCTGGTATCATATTACTTTTTCCACAAAGGACCACACAGTGATGGAATGCTTGCTTTCAGCAAATCACACCTCTCCCCATCTTTGAATCGTAACAAACATAAGAACGGCCGTACTCAGTCAGACCAAAGGTCCATCCAGCCCAGTATCCTGTCTACTGACAGTGGCCAATGCCAGGTGCCCCAGAGGGAGTGAACCTAACAGGTAATGATCGAGTGATCTCTCTCCTGCCATCCATCTCCACCCTCTGACAAACAGTTATAAGTTGCTTAAATTTAAATAGCTTTCTTTAGAGCCAGTGGGTTCAGACTGTTCCACAATTTTGTACCACCAGGACATTTGAATGATAATAGTTCTGTATTATCTACCAGCAGCTTTTGACAGTGTGGATCATGAACTGCTGCTGACTCACGAAAGAGACGTGGCAGGCTTCGGCAGCCTGTCTTTGCTCCCACCTTCTTGGACAGATCTGAGAACATTGTGATGTAATGGGCAGCTGCTCCTCTTGCCTGAGAGCCCCCAGGGTTCCCACAAAGATCAAGCCTTTGGTCAGCCTGCAGACAAGAGTGTGAGGCATGGTGTGGACTTCACGGCCATCAATACGACACTTCGCTCTACTTCCCCTTCTCACTGAATGCAGACTAAGCCATCACCCAACTTTTCCACTGTCTCGGAGGTATCACTGGATGAAAAGCAGCTGGCTGAAGTTCAGTGCAGGCAAAAGAGAGTTGGTGCCGGTGGAAAGAGAAAAACATTTCAAAGCACTGGTCAAAGACATCACCTCACCCTGCTGCGTTGAATGTGCTGTCCTCCCAGTTGTCAAGACAGAGTGCTGTCTCCATGTGCTGTGGGATTCATCACTGCTCCTGGACACCCAACTAACAGCAGTAGTTCCACTCTTTGACTGCATGCCTTTCTTTTGCATATTCCTATGAGCCTAATGCTTCTTACCTCCAGTCTTCCTTACTGCTGTGAGCTCCGTCTGGACATGG